ACTCGGGGGGTCGGGGGGGCCGGGGGGGGACCGCGGTGACCCCTCCGCGCTCCAGGCCCAGGAGCGGCTCCTGAAAAAGGTGCGGAGGAAGATCCGGAACAAGCAGTCGGCGCAGGACAGCCGGCGGAGGAAGAAAGAATACCTGGACGAGCTGGAGAGCAGGTGGGGCCGCTGCTCCCGTTATCCCGGTGTGCCCGGTGTGCCCGGTTATCCCGGTGTGCCCGGTGTGTCCCGGTTATCCCGGTGTGTCCGGTGTGCCCGGTGTGTCCCCTGCCCGGTCACTGCCCCCGTCTCTGCCCGGGCAGGGCGGCTGCGTGCTCGGCACTGAACCAGGAGCTGCGGAGAAAGGTCCAGGAGCTGGAGACGAGCAACGGGTGAGCAGGGGGGGCTCCGGGAACGGGCACCGGGAGGGAAGGGGGCAGCAGGAGGGGCACGGAGCTGAGCCCGGTGCCTCCCGCAGGTCTCTCCTGAGGCAACTCCAGGCGCTGATCAAGGAAACGTCCGGCAAGCCCGCGCAGACCGGCACCTGTGTCCTGGTACGGCGCTCGGGGACCCTCCCGGGACCCTCCCGGGACCCTCCCGGGATCCTCCAGGGACCTCTGGGGACCCTCCCGGGACCCTCCCGGGACCCTCCCGGGATCCTCCAGGGACCCTCGCGGCCCCGGTCCGGGGCTCACGGCTCCCTCCCCTCCCGCAGATCCTGTTCCTGTCGCTGGGGCTGATCCTGCTGCCCAGCTCCAGCCCGTTCCGCCGGGGCGGCGGCCGGGACGGCCTCGGAGCCACCGGAGGTAACGGGAGCGCCGGGAGGGGGCGGCGGGGACAGCCCCCCGTGCCCAGCCCCACCACGGCCGTCCCTGTCCCGCAGTGATCTCCAGGAACATCCTGGCGCGCCGGGAGCCGGGAGCGGCCGCGGAGTCCCCGTTCCCCCGCTGGATCCCGGGGCTGGAGGACGGAGCCGGGGGGGGGCCCGGGGATGGGATTCCCACCCCCCCCAGGGATCGTGGCAGCAATTCCTCCAGGGAGGACATGGGGACAGGGGGACACGGGGATGAGATGTGAGGGGTCCAGAATAAATCCACGCTCTGTTTGCACCCCTGGAATGTCGGGGGGGCGGGAATGGGGAACATTCCAGCGCTGCTGCAGGCACACGGACCAGGATTCATCCCACATTCCACTCCTGGGGGTTCCCAGGGACCCCCGGCGCGCTGCCAGTGCTGGAGGAAACAGAGATCCCCCCCAGGAAACAAACACAGCATCACTCCAGCAACAACGACCAGGATTTATTCCACATCCCTCTCCTGGAGGACGCCCAGGATGATCCCGGAGCAGATCCCAGTGCTGGGGGGGGGACGGGGATTCCCCCCAAGGGACGAACCCAGCGCCACCGCCGGCATTAATCCCACATCCCGCTGGGGGCCGCGCCCTGGCCGCTCTCCCAGGCACATCCCAGCGGGACCGCAGCTCCGCGCAGCCGGGCAGGGGCTGCCTCTCCTCCCGCGAGCGGCATTCCCGGCTCCCAGCGCTGGGGAGCCCGTGGCTAGATGGACTCGATCTGCTTGCGGACCTTCTCCAGCGCCCGCCGGTCCAGCACGCGCTGCCGCAGCACCACGAGCGCCGCCGCCGCCGCCGCCACGCCCAGAGCGGAGCCCACGAAGCGCCAGAAGCGCCGGGCCTCCAGCGCGGCCGAGCGGCAGCTGCGGGCCGGCCCGGCCGTCAGTGCCCCGGCCCCAAGCCCGGGCAATTCCCGGCCCCATTCCCGGGCAATTCCCGGCCCCATTCCCCGCTCCAATCCCCCGTTAATTCCCGGTCCCCGATCACTCCCGGCCCCACCTCTTGTACTCATCCCGGTGGGACGAGGCGCAGTTGATCTTCTCGATGAAGCCGGTGGGGCCGCAGGCCGGGATCGTTTTCTGCACGGAGGGGTCGGTCAGGGAGAGACCCCCGGGAAAACCGGGCACGCCGAGCCCCGCAGCCGCCCCGCGGGAGCCGCACTCACCATCTCGAAGCCGGAGCACCGCGTGCACTCCTGGGCAACCACGAACTGCTCCACCCGCCAGCACGGCGTGGCCGCCGCGGGGCTCGCTGCGGGGGGAGCGCGTTACCGGCACCGGACAGAGCCCGGCACCGGACACACCGCGCCGACTCCAGCCTCCCAGCCCCGGGTCCAGCCCGGTCCGAGCCCCCGAGATCAGACCAAGCCTCCCAGCCCCGGGTCTATCCCGGTCCGAGCCCCCGGTCCGAGCCCTCACATCCCGGTCCGAGCCCCCGGGACCAGACCGAGCCCCCCGGTCCGAGCCCCCGACCCCGGCCCGAGCCCCCGGGACCGTCCCAAACGCCGGCCCGGCCCTGCTCACCGGGCCGCTCCTCGCTCGCCGCCGCCGCCGCCGCCGCCGGGCTGTGGGCACAGAGGAGCTGCCGTGAGGGCCCGCAGCGGGCCCGACCCGCCCACCCCCGGTGTCCCCCGCTCCCCGCTCACCGCAGCACCGCGCTCAGCACCGCCAGCAGCACCGCGAGGGCGCCGGGCCCCATCGGGGCGCCGGGATCCGCGGGAAAGCCCCAGGAACCCGCGCGATGCTCCGGGAGCTACCGGGCCCGGCCCGGCCGCCACAGCGGCGCCGCCATGTTGGAACTGCCGGGGGCGCCGGGAGGGGAAGGGCGGGGCCTGGCGGGGGCGCCGGGCTCAGCCAATAGGATAGAGGGGCGTGGCCACAAGACCACAAAGGGGCGTGTTTTAACCATAACGGGAACTACTTATTTAATTAGGGGCGTGGTTTACAGTTGAATTAGGGGCGTGGATATGCGCTCGGTGTGGGGCGTGGCGATGAGAGTGGGCGTGGTATTCGTACAAATTTGGTGCTGTGGGCGTGGCTTGGGCGCGGCCTCGCCGCCGCTCGTCCCGGTCCCGGTGCCGGTCCCGACCGCAATCCCGGCCCCGGTATCGGTCCTGATCCCGACCGCAATCCCGGCCCCGGTATCGGTCCTGATCCCGACCGCAATCCCGGCCCCGGTATCGGTCCTGATCCCGACCGCAATCCCGGCCCCGGTATCGGTCCCGATCCCGATCGCAGTCCTGATCCTGATCCTGATCCTGATCCGGCGTGGTATTCGTACAAATTTGGTGCTGTGGGCGTGGCTTGGGCGCGGCCTCGCCGCCGCTCGTCCCGGTCCCGGTGCCGGTCCCGACCGCAATCCCGGCCCCGGTATCGGTCCCGATCCCGATCGCAGTCCTGATCCTGATCCTGATCCTGATCCTGATCCTGATCCTGATCCTGATCCCGGTCCCGATCCCGGTCCCGGTCGATTGCAATCCCGGTCCCGGTGCCGGTGCCGGTCCCGACCGCAATCCCGGCCCTGGTATCGGTCCCGATCCCAATCGCAATCCCGGTCCCGGTATCGGTCCTGATCCCGATCGCAGTCCTGATCCTGATCCTGATCCTGATCCTGATCCCCATCCTGATCCCGGTCCCGATCGCAATCCCGATCCCGATCCCGTTCCCTGTCCCGGTCCCGGTCCCGGTCCGGTTCCGCCCCCTCCACCCCCATCAAAGACACTGCGGAGCCGGGACAAGGCACAGCGGGGCTTTATGCCGATCCCTGTCCCGGTCTCGATTGCAATCCCGATCCCGATTCCGATCCCGTTCCCTGTCCCGTTCCCTGTCCCGGTCCCGGTCCCGGTCCCGGTCCCGGTCCCGTTCCGCCCCCACCACCCCCATCAAAGACACTGCGGAGCCGGGACAAGGCACAGCGGGGCTTTATGGCACAAGGAGAGCGGGGGGCAGCCCCAGATCCCCCCGATCCCCCCAGATCCCTCCGGAGAGGCGCCCGCGCTGCCCCGGGGGTCTCGGGGAGCCCCTACCCCAGCGAGCACCTCCCGCCGGCCTTCCGGGGGGGGCCGGGCTCCAGCAGGGCCCTGCTGCTGCTGCCGGGGGGCTGCGGGGACACCGGGGGGTCAGGGGGGCGCAGGGGGTCCCCGGCCTGCCCCCCGCCCCCCCAAATCCCGGCCCCACTCACGGCTTTGCGGAAGGATTTGTGCAGGATGTCCCGCGCCAGCGTGCGGAAAGCCTGGGGGCACGGGGGCTGCTCAGAGGGGGGCAGCGCCCGGGACCCCCCCCGGGAGGAGGGAGGGACCCCCTGTCCCGGCAGGGCACCCCAGGGACCCCCCCTCACCTCCTCCACGTTCTGGCTGGACTTGGCGCTGGTCTCGAAGAAGCGAATCCCGTGTTCCCTGGCCAGCTGAGCGAGCGTGACCCCCCTGAGCCCCCCGAGACCCCCCCAATCCCGATAACCCCCCCAGCCCCCTGAGACCCC